GTGTAGACAAAGTAAATTGAGAAAGGCAAAATGGCAGTGAGGCAAAAGAGCAAACAGAATGAAACAATGGGCACTATCTGCAGTCACAGTGAGCCAATACATCGTCATTGTCCCCGCAGTCACCACGCTTGTAGCGCCTCCCAATAAGATAGCAAGCAAACAAACAAGTAAGAGTTAAATCAACGGAGTGAGCACACTTCCAATGGGGAGACTGCGGACTGCAGCCTCCATAAAGACGGCAAATGACAAGGAGGCTGCGAGGGCAGTCAAGAAGAGTAGAAGTACACGGTGCTCACTGCCCACCAAGGAAAAGAACAACTGAAGTGCGGTTTGCACTGCCTTGCCACAGCAATGCGGCATCCCGTTTAGGGCTATCGACACAACCCAATGCCTCGTCTGCACTGAGAGCTGCCTCTTCTGCCAGACAATAATATAAAGAATAGATTCAGCAACCAAAAAGTGAGAGGTCATCTCTGCATCCTTCAAAGTATCAGCAAGTTGGAGACACAGAGGTGGATGGTGCTGTAATGCATGCATGGCGGCAGCTGCATCCGCATAGATGGCAATCGCATTCTGTGGCGCCATGGAGAGCAGTGAATGTGCACAGCCTTTGCCCTCCCCTCTCCCTCCATTATTTTTCCCTTTTCTCCTTGAAGAGACATGGCAGCCGTGACATAAGCACCTACACGCCAGCAGGCATCTGTGCTTCGTTGTGCCCGTGTCCTCCTCGACCCGGTCCAATGGGCTGCTTAACCCGCTTGAAGCCATCCGTATGATTTGACCTCTGGGGTTTTTTGCACAATGCAAAAAAAGTCATGGCGATGGCACCCTGTTACCTACCCAACCCCCATTCCCCCACCCCACCCCGGGACAGCTGCGGATCTGATTTCTGTCACAAAACCCTTCGCGCTGTTACTGTATCCTTCTTTACTAATAAAACGCGGGCAACTGCTGCGATCGCAGCATGCGTGAGAAACAGGAATCAGGTTTGCTCCTGCAGAGCTCATCCCAACAGCCAAGCTGCTCAACTCTTCCGTCGTTAAGAACAAGAATCGTATCGGCCGCCCTCAACGTTGCAAGGCGGTGCGAAACAACGACATATGTTGCGTGACGGGGCTTTGTGGCCTCTCTGGTCAGCCTAAGAGAGCGAAAAATCAGTCGCTCCGTGTTTGCGTCGACCGCACTCATTGCTTCGTCAAAGATATACAGGCACGCCCCCGCGTCTTTTCGCATCAGCGCTCGTGCAATGCAAAGGCGCTCCACCTCTCCGCCGCTAAATTCCTGTGCATGCAGTGGTGCGTAGATGCTGGAGGATCGCTTCTGCACAAAGGCCAGAGCCTGCGCTGCGGACAAGGCCCTATGAATGTCTCTCTCAGAGCACGACCAAAGATTCCCCAGCGCCACGTTGTCTGCAATGGAGACATGATCAAACAACCGCAGCTGACTTTCCTCCTGCCAAACATTAGCCATGCGCCGCCGCAGCATTCTGGCGGGGTAACGGCAAATGTCAATCCCGTTAATCCGAATTTCGCCTGACGTGGGCGCATACGTCCGATTTAGCAACCGCAAAAGTGTTGTCTTACCCGCCCCACTGTACCCAGCAATACCGAAAAATGACCCCTTCGCAATGTTGAACGAGACACCCCGTAATACGTATGGACGACCTTCGCTGTACCGGTATGACACATCGCGAAACTCAATACTCCACGGCCCCTCCATCGGCGGGAGAGGGTTCGCAATGGGGCGATCTATCCCATGCTGCACGAACTGCAGCTCCTCCAGCACCTGATAGCACCCCAGGGAACTTCCGCTTAACATCAACTGTTTCCGAACACGCTCCAGATCAACCTGCGCCTCACTAAGGCCCTGCTCCTCATAAAACATATCGGCAATCGGGGGAAAAAATGGAACCACGTATTTAATAAACTCCAAATGCGATATGATACTGTTTTGCTTCAACGCGGTTTGTTCAAAGTACGCCTGCGAAGAACACAGTGCTGCAGATGAGGTGAGAAGCAGCGGCACCGCATCCGCGGTTCGAAACACCGCACGCAGAAGATCACGAATAAAATCTTCCCGCCTGTCATTTCTAATCCCGGAAGCAGCCCCAACGACAGCCTTGGCAATCCCCAACTCCAAGCCATTCTGCCTAAAAAGCATAAATCCCTTATGATATTTCGCACGATATCGCGAGCCGCGGTGCAACTCAGGACTGAGTTCCTTCATGGACAACATGCGCTTCATGGCCAGCCTCACCCACTGCAGTCGCTGAAGGTTTACCGTCTGCGCCTCTCTTTGTGCGGTCTTTCCCAGGCTGTGAACAATGTGCTCCACAAGCGGTGTGGGGGCCAATGGCCAGGACACGTGCCGCAAGATGCAACTCCAAGACGGTTTTAAGATTGCCTTCAACTCCAACGAAGCAAGTAAGAGGATGACCAGCCCGTGGTGCTGCCGCATGCTGGATCCAGCGACAGTATGTGGCTGAAAACCTGGCCGTCGCCTTCCTCCCGCCGCCGTCAGTTTGTCCCAGGCAAAATCACTCGTTTTCATAAGCAAACAAATGGGGGAAGGGAAATTTGACTTGCCGGCGCAACAAATACGCCCTCTTTCACACTCCATTTCCCCCTCTTCCTCCTTATTATCACGGTTGTCAGCGTCGCCATAATTAGCGGATCCCTCTGGTGCGAGAAAATGACATTTGGCGTACTGAGACTCCAAATACAGTGATTCATTAAGAAATGCAACAAAGTCGCTCCATTGCGTGCCAAGCCATACAGCCAGAGCCATAAGAGGAAAGCGCACGGCAACCCCGCCGCTGCTGAGCAGCTCGAACAACAAAGGTACTTGGCTCTGCAGCTCACCCATCGCAGAGCTTGATACGTGCCAAAGCGCATGTGAAACACTCTGCGACAGCGACCAATTATTATCAGAGCAGTAGTCGGCAGTAGCCAGCGCCAAGTAGGCACTGAGATGAAACGCCGCGACGAGGTCCATTAAAATGTAGTTCGTAACAAGGTTTCGAAGGCAACAAAGCAGCTCAACTGGTCCGATTGAAGTAATCGCGATGGCCATAATTACCCCAGGGGCACCACTGAACTGCCCCTTAACAAATCCAAAAAAAGAATACTCGCATGGCACTAAGCCAGAGGTTAGCGTTTTCTCAATTTCAGTAATGTACAATGGCGTCCAATTCATCTCTGTGTGCCACCCAGCAAGTGAGTTGAGAATTGCATCCGGCGACAGCACCAAAGCAGACATCAGCCCAATTAGCTGTCGAATGGAGCAGGACCTGTACACAAGTCGCAAAAAAGAAAAAACCCTAACCGCATCGATTTTTTTTTATGGTACGCACTCAAAAAGCGTTGAAAAAGTTCTTCAGGAAAGTGATGCACCGGTACAACACCTTTCAAGAGCAACGGTGATCTCGTTATGGCGTACCTCCCCCGCAGCAAAGTGCAGAGCGCGAGAAGCCCTTCCGTCTGCATGTCGTCCACAATAAAGACATTGTCCTTCCTCACCTGGCGCCGCAGGTGGTGACTCACGATTGCCATCAAAAGATTCCACGAGTCAGACAGGAGAAGACCATCAGGATGTCTGTGTCTCAAAAGGCCGCTATACACCTCGAAGACCTCCATGAAGTCCAGCTGGCCATTGTCGAACAATAATGCAGGCACACGCAGAGGTCTCGCATTATTCCAGTTTAGCGTCACCTCAACGTAGGCCCCATCGCCCTGATTAAGCGGGGCACGACCACCAATCGCAACTTTTGCCAAGACATCAAACATTTCGTACAGCCGCGCTTCTGAAAATAGGAGGACTGAACTCCTCAATCGTCTCCGCAGAAATGTTCGTGCCAAAAGCACCACACCGGCTGCAGAGACGGAAATCATGAATGGCGCCATCACCATAGCGTATACTCGAATGTGAAATGTCATTGGCACGGCATGCTACCCCCTCTCTGTTCCATAGATGTCTCGCTTTGCGCTTGTTGCGTGGCCACAGTTTATTAATGCGTGTGCTTGAGTTGTATGTGTGTGTGTGAATTTAAACATAGAAAAAACTCAGTACAAAAGGAGCAACATGAGATATCTTTATTTGCCATTTGTAAGCACCACAGGCATACGAAGCACCCAGCATAGGTACACCCTTCTCAAATTCCTCCGTTTCTCTGCTTACTCCCCACACATAGAAGGTGCAATAAAGAGTACACAAAACAAGGGTAAGTAGAAAATACAAAAATATAAAATAAAAACCTTAGACGAATAAAAAAAGAAAAAAAAACTCCACTTTTTTTTCTTTTTTTCTGTTCTTATCCATCAATGCGTCTCTGTTTGTACTTTATAGATGTGTATAGTTCTCTCTTTCCCTTTGTCTCTATCTATCTATCCATATATATATATATATATAATAATACCCTCGCCGTAGTTCACTCGCTATGACGGGGTAGGGCACACACTTTTGTGCCCTCTATAGGCGATGCAGTCCAGAGCCCGTAGCTAGACGCTCTTTAGCTGATCGCACAAAAGGTATATTGTGGGGGAAACTTATCGGCATACCCGGCGCCATCCGCACTACGGGAGGAAATGCATCGAAAGCCCGTGGACGCAGAGGGATGACGGGTGCCTCAAGTAATGGCAACGGCTGTACTCGCCGATGTCCAAAATCCAGCGTATTCCCCACTGAAGAGATCAACGGAGGCTCATTGAAACCAGTTAGCGAAACTGCATGAAGTGGTCGTTGGAACGCAGATGGTTGAACTTGGTCAACAGTTCTTGGGTAGTAACCAGCAAAATTGTCGGCCACCATTTGCTGAGTCATGGGCTCATGCTCCATCATTTGATGAGCGGCGGGCACATGCTCCTTCACAGGTGTTTTTCCAATTCCTTTCTCGTGGGGTTTTACGTGTTCCTGCTTCGGTTGCAGCGTCCTCGTTCTTGTTTTTGCAACGCGTCCACCCTGTACTTTCTGGGCTGCCTTGTCCGAAACCACAAGGGAAGGTTCTTCGGGGGCTACCCTGAGCCCTGGCTCTTCCCTTGTTTCCTCCATACTCTTTGCAACCGGCTGTTCAACTACCTCCGCAGCCGCAGCCGCCAGTTGGCCTGTGCCAAGACCGTCTTGGGCGGTTAGGGAATCGGTTGATTCCTCGTTCACTGTTGGCGCGCCAGAAAACTCACTGCCATACAAATTATATGCCTCCTCCTTGACAGTTGGCGCGTGTACATCGAGGCGCTCTCTAAACCCATTTTCTGCCAGCATTTCCGATTCGCGCCTCCTCCGCAGTTTCTCGATCATCTCATAAAAGTTTCGCTCTGCCTCACGCTCTGCCTCACGCTTCGCCTCACGCTCTGCCTCACACTCCGCCTCACCGCGCCGCTTTTTTTCCTCCGGTAAGATCATTGCCTTTTTTACTCGAGGTATACTGAGGGATTTCAGAGCTTCGGGAGGCGCTTCCAACTTTTCCTTCATTCTCTGCAATTCTTTGGCGGCCATCACCTTGTTGGCCTCATATTGGCGCAGAAGCCTCGACTCCCCCTTTGCCCTTTTGGCAAGTGCCCGTCGAAGTGCCTTGGCAATCACTTTTTCCCGCCGTTTGCGGTCCTCCCGAATTTTCGCCATAAATACACGCTCTGCCTCGTCCTCGCGAAGACGTTTATTTAGCTCTGCGAGCTTACTCACGCCTCGCGCCTCGCAAGAGGACAACACGTGCAACGCGCGTTTCCTTGCACCTGTGACACGACTGAGCATCAAGGCTGTTCCAAGCATCGCACAAAAAAGGGTGCGAGCAAAGTGCAAGAAGAGAGAGAACTGGCTTCCTGAGAGACCGTGTTGCGCCACCGTTTCCGTGTGCAGGCGCCAAAACAAAACACAGCGAAATCAAAGAAAAATAGTATCGATAAAGATGAGAACACAGAACCCCAACAAAACAACATGCGGGGAGAAGGCAACAAAGCCGACGCGGTGACACAAACGATCCAACACAAACAAAGCTCGAATGTTTTTTTTTTTGTGATCTAAATAATACGTAAGAGCTCTTCAAGATAAAAAATAAAATTTCCTCTTTTTCTTTTTGTCAGTTTCTCTCTCTGTTGCGCCTCTAATGTCAACAGCAGTGAACTGCAAACTCACTTATGCGGCTTTTGCAGGACGAAACAAAAAAAATTTACCTTTGAAGAAATGAAAAACACCTGAAGATTGCCCCCTCCACCCACCCATTCCTTAGAAAGCATGCCCGTATGGGCTCTATATCCTTCGGGGCGATTTACTCGCCGCCCTTGTCTAACTGTGCAATGAAGTTTCAGTTAGCTCACTTGCGCTTTGGCTTCGACGTCGCGTGATGGGGAGCCTCCGGCTTCACCGACTTGGGAGCCTTCGGCGCCCCCTTCGCCTTTAGCCTACGCTTGCTGGCCAGCCGCAGCTTCACCGGCTTTGTGCCCAATTTCGGCGTCACTGGCTTCGCCTTCGCCTTCGTGGGCGTGTGGAGTGCGTCCTTCGTCACCTTTGCGACATGCTTGGTCGGCTTCTTTGCCGGCTTTTTGGGGGAAGCTGTCTTCAACTTCCCAGAGTCCGCTGGCTTCACGGTGGCGTGTGACGATGGTGTAATGCCAAATGTCGGCACTTTTGGGGGCAC